TTGTTTTACTCAAGTGGTACATCCCCATCGGATCGGCTTATCAATAATGTTCGTGACTTAGTAACGTGATCCTCAAACTTCAATATCTTCAATACTCATCTCATTTAGTGATCCTGGCTCCAGACATGTAGGCGTTGAGTAACTGATTTTGACAACTGACGCCGTTCTGAACACATCACCATGATCATCACCACCGGACTGTCAATTAACTGGCGTCGAATTGGACAAAATATTATGAGGTTTTCTCCATAATTTCCCACTGTGTTGCGAGAACTTATTTGAGTTAATAAATACTGAAATCATCAAATCTGTGGCATATGCACCTAACAAATTAAATCAAGGGGGCGGGTTCTTTAGTTTATTCTTGCAGAGAATCACGTGATCACTCGATGTTTTGCTCAGGTGTATAAATAGCACGTTAATTTTGATATCTTCGCTCCTTTATCTTCACCGATATCTCCAAGGTGAGCTGGGATTGGTGATGAACTATTTCCATTGCAACGTTGTTTCATCCCTGACATACACGACTTTACCGGTGTATTTACTCTATGAACGATTCCGTATCGTTGACAACCTATATTTTTTTAATTAGGTGTCCACAGCTGATTAATCATCAATCGTTTGTTGTAAAATAAAACCAGAAAAATATTCCAGATAACTTACTTGTTAAAAGTTCAGTTGATGGGCATATGTGCAAATGTGCATTACCACAATGACTGATCGCGCTTCTTGACCGTCACACACCCTCAGTCTCGGACATTCACGTTCTCCGGGTAAAATATGTAAATGATTCATTTATAGCTGCCATAATCTGAACTTCCCGCCCATTACTGTTGCCTTTTTCAATCGTCCACGACTTGGAACTCACCAGAAACTCGACGTTACTCAGTAACAAAATTAGCAGGATTGGAAATTATCGCATGATGGTAGTTATCCTAAGTATGCTTATCTAAATCTATTGTGACTGATGCATCGGAATAAACACTTCGCAAGCGTAACTGATCTCTGATGAAACTAAAAGGCCACTGATTCTTACGTGAACTCCCGAATTACCATTGACATTGCCCATACGAACAAGACATGTAAGATTTTGGTTACATCAACTTCATTCAGAGCACTATCGATGCATTTAGGCGGGTTTCAGTTTCGCGAGATTGCACGAGCATCTTCTGGGGACAACTGCAATGCCTTATCCGGTGCCTCAAGCTGACTTCATTCTGTGGGGAACGCTGCAATCTCAAGTTACAATCCTCAGATCGTGATGAGTGGAACAACCTTGGTGCAAAACTCCTCAGTCATTTTGATCATATTTATCACGTGAATTTGGCCCAAAGTCTCAATCTGACGCCATACTGATCTGTTCTAACTAGTACTCTGCCAAAAAAGGAGGTTTCCGACTGCGTAATTTACAAATCTCATTCGATAAAATGAGCCTAGCTTACCCGGGTCACAGAAGAGCATAATGCCTAAAATACATAGTTCAAGAAGAAAACACAGTTAGTAGTAATTTCTTCAGTGTTGCTGTTAAAGTGAAGAATGGAGCTCATGTGGGATATTTTGCAAACATAACATTCTTCCGAGGATGAGATTGCGTGCTAAAATTTGAAAATCAATGATAACAATAAGATGTTTTCATTCACAGACAGTGTAGCATATTCGCAGCGACATTGGCATTTTGTGTTTAGACTAGACTATTCATGTAGGTGGAGCCTTCCAATTTGGCTACTAAATAACATTTTATGATATCAACTCTCGTTACACTTGTGCAGTTTGTAGTTTAAGCATCAGACCAGATTACAAGCTGTTTTACGATGCTTTCTCAATGATTAACAACACATTTCAGAGGGAGTATCCTTCAACGTAAATTTATTATCGAGAAAGTTGGATGACCACATCGATATCAATATTCAAAAGCTCATTTCCGTATATACTCATTGATGGTATAAATAACATGGAAGGTCTGCTCCTCTGCCAATTCGATGCTTTGTCTGAGAAGTTTGAGTATCTTGAGAGTCGCTATAAATTCAGTTCACCAATGCTGATGGGATTCCGTGAGTAGGTGTTCAAAAGCCAACTTTAACTGCCATATCATTAAATTCTGGCCCCGCTTTGAAGCAATTATTCGGTTGTGATTGATCGCATTAACGTGGCATCTTCCGCAAAGCTAAACACTTTCATTAGCCTTCCATCTGGTTCCCTGATTTCCAAGACCGGGGCCCCCTTTGGTGAAACATAGCTGGTTACTTCAACAGACGTGACATAACAACCCTCATTGCACATGACTGAGTATTTTTCGATTAGATTTACTCCAACGATTGATTTTAAATCCATCAAGGGAAACAAATCGTTTTCCATACAGAAGATATCACTTTTGGAAAACTGTGTTAAGTGTGGTTTGCGGTGGCACCCATTTAAGGCAATGTCAATTAACACTCCCGACTCAAACGTCAAGTCACACCATTTTTTGACTGAATTGTTCGGTTGAAAGCTTTGCAACCCCGAAGAGTGTTTGTTTGTTGTATGAGTAATCTGTAGATCTCATTTATATTAAGAAATACCAACTGGTGTGATAGGAAGCTATCTTCTCAATAGAGTTGTGCGAGGATTAGAGACGGAAAGTGCTTGAAGTAAACCACCTCAATGTGGAATTCAGTTCATCGTCATACTGTGCTCCTGTCTGTGCCTTTACAACAATCAAACGTGTAGAAACATTGTGAATTGGGGACAAGTATAAATATGTCCATGCGGATGAAACTTTTGAAGCCAACGACTCGTCACAAGTGACGTTAAAGTAATGTAACCACTCACTAATCACTATCCTATCAGGCATAGTCAACAGCTGTTTAACGGGTGATGGCGGCCAGGTACCGTTGCACTGTGATTGTAAAATCAGTGATTCTCAAATGAATGTGCAGTGTTTTACATGTGAATAGGATGAATATAACACAGATTATTTCAAAGTTGGCTTTTTTAGAAACTATGCTTAATTTGCTTGTAGTTGCTTCGTGTTTACCACTGTTTCTCTCTCTCCCTGTTTGCTTTGGCATCCCTCCGACCCGCTTGCTCACAGTCTCTCACAGGAACGATGTGGCACAAGTGAGTCTCACTGATCAATAATATCTAATTATATATTCCAATACGACACCATGACTTTGAATAGTTTTTCCAATATGATCATTTATTGTTCTGCATCAGTGTTGTTGTACATTTGCTCCACACGACAGTTCTGTTTAACTAATCAATACAGGCGTTTTGAGTAATGCCCACGACGTATTTGTGATACGAGATTTTTGACTTGTGCATCCAAAAATAAAAGTCTGATGTGGACTGTAAATTCAAAGTTCAAAGTTCAAAGTTGTAATATGGGAATAACTGTCGAGCTCATGTTTTTCTCGTCCCATGGGTTCGTGTTGTGGTTAAAAGATCGTGGTGCATATAATTGCTTGTATTAAATTACACTTGACACGGGATTCTTCCACTGCTTCATGAAGCTTCACTTATGTTTGAATGTAATTTGTGCTAATGTTTTATCAAGTCTCGGTATGAAAGATTCAATGCTTGCTGCACAGACGACGTGGAGTGGGAGAGGGTTCCTGACAGAACACATTCTGAATGGTAATGACTGACGCCGGTATTCCACTCAGCATTTTGAGACCACTCGTTTGAATGGATGCCCTCTAAGATGAACGTTGGGTAATAATATTTGCAGCAGGTGGTATGTATGGCTTGGGTTTTCTATTATTTCACATACCGTAATCATATCTCCTCTGATACACCGGTAGAAATTGGAGCATAGCCCTAACGACTTCAGTGTTTAAACAGTAGAATCTCGTGGTTCACCTGATCGAAAGCTTTTGAGAATTCTAGATGAAAACTGTCTACCGCATTGCCGTCATCATTTGCTTTTGTCCATTTTTCTCGTGCGATGAGCCAATTGGTAGCGCAGGATTGCTTCTATCGGAATCCATATTGATTCGGTTGACAGAACGCTGTGCTTCTGTAGGTGTTCCATCAGGGAATCTGATACTATGAACTCCGTGACTTTGAACAACACTGAAAGGACGGTTATAGGGTGGTAGTTAGCGGAACTCTACGGCAACGGCCTTTGTAAATGGGTGAAATTACTCCCTGATTCCCTGGTGAGGAGATTGCAATGTGATCGAACATCCTCTGGAATAGGAATGCTAGTGGTTTGAATGTTTGATTCGTCGAGCAGATGATGGTTTAAGGGCGAATACTGTCTGCATCTGGCAACGAGTCCTTCCCCAAAGCCAATAGCTTAACATTGGCCTTTTCGGTGGCAAATGATACGGGAATGAATAAAGGATGTGGAATATGATGCATCCATCGAGGGAGGGACAGTCCTTCATAAGTTACTGCAGCGAAAACATGGGCATACTGGTTCTTCAGCGTTTTAACGGCTTCCACTCTATTGGCTGTGGCTCTTTCAGAATCGGTATTCCAGCCTTCCTGCTCCGCCTTTTGTCAGTACCAGGAATGTTCCTTTTCGAAGACTTCTTTGCAGCTTTGCCAACAAACCTATCCGGTTATTACACATTTGACTCCTACCAAAAATGGTGTTTTCTAAATGAGTAACGTTATAACCCATTTTAAGATAGCGGCATGCTTTATTGTGACCAACAGGCTTGAAATACGCTATGCGTTTTGCAGTTCTCAAAACAGCCGAACCAAGCAGGTAGTCCAGTATCTTTCTTACAGTCATTTGTATTCTTTATATGACTAACTAATCGCCTAAGCATCCACTCGAAGTAACTGCCTGATTACTATTCTGTCGTAACTATTTATTTGTATATCGAAACATTTTGATCCCGTAACCGTTTTGAGCAGGAAATTCGGAAGAGAACATTGCGAGAGGAATTACGCGCTCTCATCGGTGGCATACATAAAACATTAAACAAGATGGACAAAGGAAAAGAATTAGAAATCCACTTAGGTTCAATCCTGTGTGTGTGTGTGCGTGTGTTTGTGTACTGTGTATGCGTTGCACAGGATTGGTTACATTCAGGGAAGATCAAGGGTGAAATTCATACGCTCTTGGACACAACATGGGTTTGTTCTGAGGCACCTATAATGCCTTGAGCGTTCGTAGAAGGTGTTTATCACAACGACTTAACGAAATTGAGAACACGTTCGCAAGGTCTACATTGTGACCACCACTTTCAACCAAGTGACATGCGATGGCTGAAGTCAGTCTACGCGATGTTGTAGGTCGCGTCACTGATTCACGCACGTACTAGGGGATGTGTTCCGTCATTCTAGTTCGCTGCGTTCGGTCGGTTCTACCAATGCAGCTGTTTAGTGCAACCTGAGAATTAATCTGGTCGCACAGTAGAATTTTTTACACTCGTTCTTCGAATACCCGAAAATATCGGTTCTTACGTTTTCTCGATGATTGCCTAGGCACGACAAACCATACAAATTCCACAAATTGATGAACAGAGCGTTCGAGGACATTGACCTTGAGCAAGATGGTGTGATCACGAAGGAAGAGTTCGTAAAGATGCACTCTGATGACTTGACAACGGAAGAGATAGACTTTATCTTCGAGAAGTTCGATAAGAACAGGAGTGGCAAATTGAATAAAGCGGACATCCGAGAATGGCTGAAGAACAAATTTCATGGGTGAGTCCGAGGCACTATAGTCCCGTTTTCTTCAGCAGACTACTTGTTACTTGAGAGTGATGGACAATTTTAAAATATTGTGTGTTGAATTTTAATGCGTTGCGAGCAAAATTAAACAAAACGATCTGATCAGTGGCCGGATAGTGAATTATGTATTATACTCTGGTCGTATCTGCGAGGACCCGGTTTTGATAAAGTCCCACTGCAAATGAGAACAAAGGCGATTGAAATGACTATCTTGTGCTGTCTAGCTTTTTCAATTTACAATTCGTTAAAGCACGAAATTTATCCTATATTCAAATCTAATCTTCCACTAATCCCAAGCAATAAACTAGTTAATCTGCCTATGAATTGTTTGAACTGTTGAACTGTGCCGAATCGATACAGCTTTGTAACTGATTGCTTACATGATTTGATTACTGCTGAGATCCCAGTACAAGTAAACGTTGCTAGTACATTCTTCTCTCATCCCACATACACACATTCCGATGAAAGGGCAACATCGTGTTAGGTAGCACTTCTCAGATGTAGTACATTCCTTCGTTACTTTCAGTAATGTTGTGTTCCCTTGGGGACCTATTTCCTATCTTGTATTCGTACGTTATCTGAGGAGCTACTTCCTTCCCAACCAATATAGAATTGACAAAGTTCCGCTGGGTAGAGCACTGCACAGTCTAGATAATAAGAACAAAAGGGAGCAATAGTTACGGTATGAAACATGCCCCACTTTATGCAATCGACGGATGAGGTTAAACTGCTACCAGGTTCATGTTTTCAATTGATATTTTCACCTATGTTGCTATGGGTCTATAGATCCCAAATTGCATTCTTCTTTGCAACAGAACTATGACAGGAACTATCGTTTCCAACCCTTGATTGTCTATCTCTTCCATAGAATGGTGTAACGGCAGCACGGAATAATAAGAAGCAACTTTTCTTAGCTAATTATTTGCGCGTTTTTCCAGGAATTATTTTATGTATGTGCGGCATGCATTCATATAGGCTTTCGTCACTCCCTTTGTGTCTATAGCTGTGCTGACGAAAATCTTTCGGCCTAATCTGCATAGGTTGCCTGACTCTCTAAAATAGAAGGTATTCAAATGATTAAGACGATACTCATCAGGATACATTAAAATTGCTTGCTTATCGCTAACCAGGTTTAAGATTTAGGCTTGTTCTGTCTCAGGATTCTTGTCATTATCGATCTAGTAACTGAAACATTTTAAGTTATGAAACATAACCAGTCTCCAACATTCGCAGCTCAATTTAAAATTGCAATCTATTCGTTTTTGATGTTAAAATCGTTTAAACAATCAAAACATCATTTGATGGATTCGTAATTCCACTATTATTTTTTACTATTTTATAAAACCCCAGAAAAATGGGTCTAAGAAAACTCGTCCGGCATGCATTTGAAAAAGTTGATTTGGACGAGGATGGTACAATCACGAAGGAGGAGTTGGTAAAAGTCAATTCCGGACACCTCACCGAGGCTGATATCAACAAAATATTCGAGGAATTCGACAAAGATAAAAGCGGCAGGCTGGATAAATCCGAAATTCGTGCTTGGATGAACTCGTTCGGACATGGGTAAATTTCGTTTATTTTTATCCAATTATCGAAAACCCTTATATGAAGCATAAGTTCCACTTTATAGGTCACGTGGTTCCGTCACGCAATTCGGTAACCGAAACACCGGAGAATCGATGTGGTACATATTAAGAGATCTACTCCGGACGGATTAGGTATTAAGTGAGGTTTCGTAAACGCGGAGAATATCAAGGTTTTGAGATTGTGTCCAGATTCGAAAAAGAAGTGTGAATGTAATATTGCAACGCAAGTAGGAAGACACGGTGAAATAAAAGGTATCAGAAATGTCTGAGAGAGAAGTGCCGATCAAAATGCTGAACACTTTTTGAAACGAACATTTTCATGTGTTCGCCTCTCTCAAATTCAATTTTTGCCTAAATTGTACGCAAAGTTAGCTTCAGTGTGAGCACATGGGTTAGTTTTTCAAAATATCAAACACACTAATTCAATAATTTGGGAGTGGTTTGACTTGCTTTTGCACAAAATGCATATAAGTATAATTGGTTAGCAAAGTTCCACCCGTCTGTATTCGGATCAGGAGAAAAAAGGTATTGATAAACCATTTACTTTGTCTTGTGAACAAGTTGTATGAATCTTGCCTTTGAGTCTATTTGTTACCATACCTCATAAACATATATAGTGTCCATTTGTAAATCGCATGAAGTAACTGATGATATGCGAAAGAAATGTCGCTGCATTGGACATCTTGCATAACACGACTGGCCTTTTCCAAATTCACTCGGGGAAATCATTGATCCAAGTTCTTGCGAAAAACAGAAATATCCGAAAATAAGTTTCATATAAAAACGAAGGATTTTGTTCTCATTGGGTGACACATGACTTGTCTGCGTGTGTGACATTTCATTTCGGCGACTTTATACCTCTATCAGTAGCAATTGAATCAATCGGATGGTTCAAAGTTTACCAACTTTATTGGATGTTGATGATCTGTATATTGACAATATGTTGTTCAGAATAATCCATAAACATCACATCCGTCACGTACATGAGTTTTGTGACTCGTTCTAGAACTAGGATGCACGTTTGAAAAGTGATGTTTCGTTTGTCGCCGCGAGCCGGCATTACAGTAAGAATACAATCTCTGGGTTTATTCAAAAGACAGTTTCTGCAATCTTGCTCTCAAAGTATTGGTCATGGGTCAAGGTTGAAATTTAGCCACCAACCCGAAGCTTCGACATGTGGGGTTCTAGTGGGGATTTGAAACCAGTAAGTGTCGCTGGCACGTTTCAAGTACAATGATTCAGCGCTTGCCTAGTTGCTCAAATACATTGTTGGATCGATTACTTTGAAACAATCATGTGGTTTTTAATAAATATTATAATCAATGAAATATTGTCGATATTTTAAAAGTAGCACGAGATCGTTGCCTTATGACCATTTTCCACACTCTTTCCGCTCTAACTGCTGCTCTCGTTGTCGTATCGCTGATTGGGTTACACTTTCAACGAATGGCTCGTCTCAACTGGCAAATATTGCAGAGTAAGGAGGCTTGTTCATCGCACATTCCGCAAAATGGATCTCAATGGGGACGGATACATTACCAAGGACGAGCTTCTGAAGAGCAATGAAGGCAGATTGACTGAGGAGGAGGTGACTGTCATATTCGAGCGATTCGACAAGGACAAAGATGGAAAGTTGAGTAAAGCGGAAGTTCGGGTGTGGTTACAGTGCGAAGGCCCTGGGTGAGTGGCGGTTCTGTTTGACACTGATGAAAATCTGCTTTTAAGCAAACGTTTGCAATAAACACACAAGAGACTTATTGTACACCACTTCAAGTAGAGTGCTGATCTCCTAGAGATGATCAGGCATTTCACAACTCCAACTGTTTCTAATACGTCGTAAATTGAAAAAGCATCTGCGCCGTCAAACTGCTTTTATGCAGTCAATAGATCTTGATAAAATAGGGCATAACTATGATCATGGTGAGGTTTCACTGAAACTTCCTGAGATCGGAAACTGTTAGGTTAACATCGCTGATGATGCGGAAGAATTGTGGTCAGTATGACCGTTTTGCCATACATAATCATTGCCTTGACTCCATACTCGGAAAATTGAGGTGTATTAAACGACATCACTCGGACTGAGATCTACTCCAATCTGAGCTTCATGGGCGATCGGCAATTTTGTCCGATTAAATCCTAAGTGAGAAATTGAAATATGAAACCAAACAAGATCATATGGGCATCTAGTTTTCAGATTAAAATAGATTACCAGAAATACTGAAAAGGACTTCGAGTGAGAGGAAGGCAAAGATGAATGTCTTTTTGTTATTCTCGTCCAATATGGATTACACCAATAACGCCAGAAATCACCGTTGGAGCGAAAATGTTGGCACTGGATGAAAGTAAAAGCGTCCAATGCTACAGACGATAGAACGGAATCAGATATTAAGTATTTAATGAAAATGGTGGAAATGCAGTGAACGCATACTGTGAATACAGGTCTAATCAAAATGGTATGGCAATTCACTGAAACACCACAATGCTCATCAAACTATAAAACCTTTCAGGAGAGAGCTAGCTATTCAGCCGATAGCAATATTCTCCATCAAGTGAGTCGCTGATCAAACTGATTGGACTTTCACTACGCATCTCCTGTTTAGACCGACTGTTCTGTTCTAGTAGGCACCAACTGCAATCGACCAAAATGAAACATGATATTCTTCAAATTTTGTCACATGCATTTCGATGTTAAAGTGTAGCGCGAGAAACGGCCATGATACAGACCATATCACCTTGGTCATATCGTTTGAAGGTGCTTGAGGCAAACTTCACAATGCTCCTGGGAAGAACTATCCTTAACTTTGTGGAGCAGTTTTGTCTTCAGTCTAATATTTAAACAGAATCAAGCTAGCATAAGTACACAAACACAAAGAAACAATTAGTTCTGGTGAACAAAGAATATCCGCAAAATATTCTATAATCCCATGAATACAATAAATCAATATTGCCGTGTATTTTCCCATGCAGCCCATTCGGTTTTCGCAAGCTCGTAAGAAGAGCGTTCGACGGTATGGAGCTGGATAAAGACGGCAAAATATCCAGAGCGGATTTCGAAAAAGCTAAACACGGTCAGCTGTCCACGGACGAAATCAATATCTTGTTTGAACGATTTGACAAAGACAAAACCGGTTTTATTGACAAAGCTGAAGTTCGAAACTGGCTACAGTCGGAGCGTCATCATGGGTGAGCGCTTGTTTCCTCCATTGAATTGATTTTCGTGACTCAAGACTCTAGCATTTCCATTATACCGTATCGTCAAGCATGTCAAACACAAAAATAGCCTATTGGTTATCGTGGCTTAGTCTGAGAGTTCAAAACCTTCAAACCTCAGTATAAAGCTCATCAAACAATCACAAAACTGTCCCACCAATTCGTCCAAAGCTAACAACAGCCCATACGATTTTGATTCGCCTCCTAAAGTAGCAATGATTTGCATAAAAGCACTGGTACGGTAATTGAAATCCNATTCAAATTCAAATCAAGGGAAACCGGGCGAGACCTATTCATCTTCCACCCTATTGTCGTCCAATAACTAGCCTCAACTATTTGACCGAATAAAACTCCTTCTCCGATGGCTTTAGATGAGCAATCGCATGGCAACCGACGAATTCATATTCAACCACCATACAGTCCCTAGGGAACCCGCTGCAAGAGACGTTCAGTACGTTCCAACAAAACAATTCAGCCTATCAAGCTACTGCACAACAGTTAGTTCTATTCTGTGAAACAGTATGCATACATATCGTCCAACATAATTCGACACATTCATATTTTTCAATGCTGTCGAAAGGGGTAAATATAGCAGCAAAAATATTCTCCCCGGATGTTCATTTCCTGATTATCAACGTACATTTTACAAAGACAGGAGACCGCCTCTGTGAATTTAATACTAATGAGAATGTACGAATGGAATCTCAGTTGACGGCCTTGAAGATTGGATACTCAACGTTCAATGCTCAATGTTCAATTATAGTTTGGACATCCATGCGACCGTCAAAAACGATACAGTCACCATGAGGACACCCTAAAGTCAGACTCTGTAGGCATTTTCATAACAGCATTGTAGATGAGTTCAATACACAGTCATCAGTAACTTTGCTCACTTTAACAGGTAAGAGGAAAGTATGGAACTGTACAAAGTTTCTTTTGAAATGTAACACGATACACTCAGTTACAAGCCTCATATTAAAAAAGGCACAGATCGACGGCCCACTTTTCCGCTACTTTCGTTTAACAGAACATTCAGATGGCTCCATCTAGTCGAAAGTGCATCGGGAATCCACATGAAACGGATAGTACACAAATCTCGTTCACCTGCAAGCTTAAATTGGTAAACCGTCTTCTGTTTAGAGCCGAATATAACTGTTCCGAGTTCACATTAGAAACAAAACTATCAATTGTATTGAAGATTGATACGAAATCATTACTGAAAAACATTAATTGATCTAACTCATCTGAAAGACCAAAGCATGGAGCTAGAGATGAATAAGAGACTCTAACAATCAAACTCCCGTAGCAATGAGCAACAGTAGCCAAGCGGTCACCGAACTCAGCGGTATCGCAGTCAAGATAACGTTCAGTGGTACCGAATTCGGATATGTGTTCTCGTCATACTTTGGTACAAGTACTACAGGTTTGTTATGTTGACTTCCCCAATGCTCATCTACTAGTTAAAGTTAAAGTTAAAGTGCACCTATGGTGTCATTTACCTAGGCCATACAACAAACCAACTTTTTAAACGAACCAAAGAATCTCAAGTCATATATATTAAATACTGAGACCACAGGATCATCTCAAAACTGGTGGATGCCACATGTCTCTGTAAGTTGGATGGGTAAATTCGAATGTGAAAAGATCAGTGATATCGGTGTGGCCTCGTAGATCAGCTGGTAGAGCATGTGCATGCGAAGCTTAGGCGGCATCAATGCGTGGGTTCGAATCCCACCTAGGCCACTGAACTCTTCACAATCGACATACAAACTTCGAATCTGCCAAACAACAATTTGAACAATGAAATTTAATTGTTCAACATTTGGTCAAAGCGAACATCTGGTAGATTCTGTTCAAACTATTGTTAATACTAACCGAGTTGCACAACACAAACCTATTGTTGTTCAAATTGAAACGCTAGTAACAGCCCATACGATTTTGATTCGCCTCCTAAAGTAGCAATGATTTGCATAAAAGCACTGGTACGGTAATTGAAATCCCTTTGGTGCAAGTGGACAACATCACACAGCAGTGGAATAGTGGTCCGAATCAACTGCAAACGGTTATGTGACCCATTCAAATTCAAATCAAGGGAAACCGGGCGAGACCTATTCATCTTCCACCCTATTGTCGTCCAATAACTAGCCTCAACTAGTTGACCGAATACAACGCACTCTGTTGTTTTTTTCAAATAACTATGACAATTATGATTTGAGAATAAATTCACCAATCTGATTGTACGCAATTGGGAAGCGACGAATGTATTTGTAATTGTGAATTCAAAATCATGAGCATAAATCATCTAAATTTGTATGAATTCGACTGTAAAAAAGTCACATATTTCTGAAAATAGTGAAAACATGGATTATGGAAAATCTGTCATCGAAATCAATCTTAATGGAATTAGTGGCTAGTGCGTCAAAGCATACAACTTTGAACCGTTTCAGGTATCGTCCCATGTCATTTATCTTGGTTTACATAGGAATACCATTCGGGTAAGATCGACATTTCCAAAAATAATGCTTGATCATTCCGATGAATTGGAGAAGCATCATCAAAACAGGTGTCTGAACGAAACATCACGTGATCATCTCGATGGTAATTTTGACTGTGTGAACTGCGGATTGGGACTCAAGAGAAGATCTGAAACAGGCTTAGTTATTAAAATGAATATAACGTATTTCACATTTCTACTAAAATGTCATTCTTAGGATTGATTACGGGTAGCATGCCCGGTATGTCTCTGGACAAACTAAAACAATCACCTCGTGTATTCCCCCATAAACATTTTGCAGGTCATTCGGTTTCCATAGACGTGTGGCAAGAGCGTTCGAAGGTATGGACTTGGAAACAGACGGCAAGATATCCAAAGAGGAGTTCGCAAAAGCGAATGAAGGTAAACTGAAGCCGGAACAAATCAACTGCATATTTGAACGATTTGACAAAAGCAAAACTGGTTTTATCGAGAAAGCCGAAGTTCGAACCTGGCTAAAGTCGGAGCATCCTCATGGGTGAGCTCTTGGTTGCCCTCCAGTAATAACATTGTATAATCTTGTGGCTTATACCAACCACTCGCGCTGGTCATTATTATTCAGCTGTGCTTATGACTGAGGCTAATGCATACTCCGAACCATACATTATTCGGATGAGCTCTATTTTTTGTTCTATAAACGTGAAATTTCAAATGATTTCATCTGTTCATTGTTACAGAGGCTAAGTTCGAATGCACTAACATGCGCAGCCCAGTGAGTAAATACAATTCAGACAGAACTTCTTTCAATTCCTTTGATCCAAACGCAATTGCTTCCACATTTCTGGCATTGAAATGTACAACTTACGAGATAGTTAAACAGTGGTAAAAGGATACAGTGAGAGATTTACCAATATTTCACCTGAATAACAAGACCAAATTTGAACTCATTTACGGGCTAATAGAAATCACATTTCTTAGTAAGTCTCAAATAGAAAAATGCATTATATTCACAATAACAATGGAACCAACCTAATGCCTAAAGATTCTTCCTTTGTTAGTTCGATTCACCGCACACGTTCTTATCCTTGTTGCATCATTCTTGCATCCTCTTCGAATCCTTTCACAGCCTAACTGAATGTGTGAAATCTTCCCATTTTTAGTGACTGAGACACGTGCAATGCTGCGTGTGAGCTTGGACAACTTAATTGATGAAGCATATCTGTGAAATCGATGGTTGGCCACTAGGTTTGTGTAATGATTGTAGTAGTAGTAGTACTACGCACGGAATTCGGAATGCAAACCGCGCAATAGGAATCACCGGACACGAATCAAGGATAAGCTGTCATGGATTGGATTACGGAATCACTGGACCGCATGGCCCGAGCTCGCAATATCCCAGGAGAGCGAGATGCGACTAAAAGGCCACAGGAATAGTAGTACGTAGTTAGTTTATTGAAAGAAATGAAACGATTAAATAATATGTACAAAAGAAGATCATTGGTTATCTAGGCTTACACCAATCGGATTGCAATACTGCTCGCATAATTCTGCTTCTGTTTGCACTGCCTCGGATTGGCTGGCACGATCCATCAATGACGTGTAGTCAGAAATCATGTGCGTAACATTGATGTCATCTTTCCTGCTTCCATTTTCGAGTAACCTCACTTCACAGATAAAGAATCGATGAACGAGGCTATTCTAGAAGTAGGAATCGGCTGTGACCAAACAGTCAACCAGAAGTTGGAAATCCGAATGAATATTGGCTCAAGTAGGAGCGAGAATCTAGACACTCGGGAACGAAAGCCTCTACCACCCTGTGCATTCTGAAATGATCAGACCTAATCATATTATCCGTATCCGTGATCACAACACGAGACTAACTTCAGAATGCTCAGGAAAATATTTGAGTTACCATTTCGCAACCTCCATTTGATGTGTTCTCTTTCATTCTTCCCCACTTTGATAAACTTCCTGGATGGTCTTGCTCTCCAGTCTAAGAACTAACAGCAACCAGGAATTTAACTGGACAAGGAATTTCCTCCATCTCTTCCAAAATCCTATGAACCCTCTAAAGCAATCTCTCCGTGTATTCCTCTATGCACATTTTGCAGGCCATTCGGTTTCCACAGGCTCGTGGGAAGAGCGTTCGAAGGTATGGAACTGGAAAAAGACGGCAAGATATCCAAAGAGGAGTTTGTAAAAGCCAAACAAGGTCAAATGACCGAGGAACAAATCAACGTCGTATTTGATCGATTTGACAAGAACAAAACAGGTTTCGTCGAGAAAGCTGAAGTTCGAGCTTGGTTACAAAAGGAACGTCCTCGCGGGTGAGTACTTGTTTCTCATGTATCTCTTGTCGTGTCCAACTTGATATCACTCTAGCGTTTATAGGAAACGCGCTTTTGCCAGTATTATTGCTATATACTTGTGAATGAAACTAAGAGTGAATCGTTTTTCTTCTCAATATAAATGACATTCCCAAATAATCTTGTTTATCATCGTTACACAGCCTAGCTTTGAATATTCCAAATGTACGAATATTTCTTGCACGACATTGAGGTCACCTTATACGATCGGTGTGTGTCTAAGATGAACCCCCTACTAAAAACTTCGTACAAATATTCCGATGATTCGTTTAACCACAATCCTCCATTCATATTTCCTCATTTTATTTTCAGTGCTAATGTCACTGGGCTTTCATCTTTTAGTCATTACACCTAACTTATACTTCATCGCGTTAAACTTATGTATTGATTTTATTTTTTTAATTCCGATTTCACTGTTTTATTTCCCGGTTGTTTTCTCCAAGATTACAGTCTGATCCTTACACACCTGAACGTTTTCACAATGTGAAGAAAGAATATGAAGACATAATTTTGGATGCGTTATTGGATCTAAAATATTTTTACTTGGCTTCAAAAATACCTACTCAGTGTATATGATCTTTCGACTGAGGGAAACCAGCGGAGAAAGTAACTTATTGGATTACACGTGAGCCTGGATCGACTGGGGACGTAGTTACACAATGGGGACGTGAAAAGTATGTAGGTATTCATATAATGGAAAGTTCTGAATGTTAATTTCAAACGGATTTGCATGTGTGTATAAAGGCTTTTCCGAAGGAGATTTTGTGCGCGTGTGGTTGTGAAAGGGGTACCGGTTGAAATCTCGCAGTAATTTCGCATATATATTTGACTACTTATTTTGTGTACAGTAGTAAATTTGCAATTTGCAACAACACTTACTGACGTTTTTGGGGGATTCCGACGTCGAAGTATCAGAAGACCGTACGCGGAAAAGAATGCACATCCCATGTTGTTTGTTCATTCAAAAGGCAGGGTATAATAATGGTAGGAAATCTGTTACGGAAGTAATCCCACACGGCATTTCAGCTGATGCGTCTACGAATAGGGTTATGAAACGTTTCAAACACGGGCATAATCTTTATCCACACAGTGGAAACATTCGGAAAGGCGGGAATTTTCAGCAGATCTCGATTGATCAGATCTACAAGGTTGAAAAGGATCTTTGATACTTGTGACGAAATTAGTAAGTCATCCGTAGAGTAGTGGAACTGAAGCCTAATCTGCAACACCTCTAATCATGCAGTTTGGTCCATCTGTTGTCTTCTTCTTCAGAGGAATAGAGTAATATAAATGTGTCAGCATCTATAATGTTTATATATATATTGCTTGGAGATGCATGTATGCATGTTTGATTTAGACTTGCCTATTCTTGCAAATAATGCATGAGCGTATATATGTGCGCATATGTGCGTATAAATCTAATCGAAGTGAAACAGTGAAAATTCTTCCTCAGTAAGTTTGACTTCAATGAAATTGTCTCCGTAAAACAATATGCTTCTCTGCCATAAAGTCTGTTTCCGCTGGTGCATGAGCAGTTGATTTACTGCGACAAATTGCCCAAGAAGAGAAGGTCATGAAATACGACAACGAGTATCATTGCGGTGGGAAATCCTTTGGACTGCGATGAGTGTAACAGATAGTAGTGGGATCCTTCAATCAACTAAAGCCTATAACATCCCAATCTACTCAATAATGCAAACTAATCGAGATGAACATAAGGCAAATAATCTCAACATACATTCTGTACTTAGTCTGATGCAATCACAACCAGGTCGACGAACCCAGTTAACAGTATAAAATGATAATGGCCCGTTGATGAATTTATCAAAAAACAGCTTGTTTCACCTACTGGACATTGTTTTTTATGCAAAATAGTCTGAATAGGTTTCATTTGACTCGGTTGAAGTTGGTACATTTATCCTCCGATGAAATTATGAACCAAAGTATTCCTCATTTTATACAGATTCAGGTGTGTGTGAAATTTCATATATTAATTTTGTACAAGATATTGTTTAACGTGTAGCGTTTAGCAAACGGTTCTGCGTCCGAATTACAGACGGTAAGTTCCAAAGACAAATAAAGCTACTATTCTCAAATTCGGTCCACTGTATTGTAAATTTTGAATGTTTTTGACATTACTTCGTGCTGTTATAGTCTTCAATTCCAGTAAGGATCTTCGAGGATAGTTTATCAACGCATGCTGATTCAATGCACATCCAGAATGCTTTGTGTGTGTGTGTGTTTTTCTCAAATTCCTAACAGTAGTACAATCTTTCGTGTAATCTTTACCGTCCCAGTCCCAGAAAATGCATGATGCGCAGATTGATAGAAAGAGCGTTCAAGGATATGGATCTGAGCAAGGATGGAGTGATCACGAAGGAGGAGCTTTTGAAATCGAAATCCGGTCAGCTGACCACAAAAGAGGTGGATGAGATTTTCGAGAAATTTGATAAGAACAAAAGCGGCAAACTGAAGATGGCGGACGTCCGAAAATTTTTGGAATGTAAACGTTGCGATGAATGGGGGCGACGCTAAAGAATACATGAATTGAGAATACCTTATAAACACAGATACGCGTAACACGTTTATGCTTTCATTCACGTCAATAAAGTACTTACAATAATTGAGTTGTTATTCAAAGGTGCTGAAACTGGGTGGGAGGGGGTGATCAAGTACAGTCATTGGGTATTCATTGTGTACAACCGAAAAATACATTGAAACCCTTTGTGTGTATTCCAGGGAAGAAAATACAACATAAGGGTGTTGTGTGAGAGGAATAAAATCTGGTAATGATCAGCCAATACGGATGAGTACATTACCCGATTAATTACTCACAAATCTGATCGCTTTTGGCGTAAATCTATGCCTCGCGTCTGTTCTTCTATAATTTACATGTTTGTTTCATATGCAACGAAAGATCTCCGATCTCCAGTCTGCCGACCGCCATGACAGTAAGTGAACTGTCGCAGTAATTTGAGAATAGAAAAATTGGAATTGTTCTTTGAAAGTGAACAGTATCAATGAAATGTAAAAGCAGAGCTGACTTGAGGCAGCTGATAATTGAGCTTCATATATCACATGATGCTCCACGATTGTTTGATTTCACACCTTCCCACGTCTTTTGCCCACTTGATGGAAATTGCTAGTCTTTGCATAATCACATGCAGATATCAAGGTAGAAGTACAGTGCGATAGCTCCATCGTTTCACATCGTCTCGTCCCTCTCACCCGTGACCATAAACAAGTAAATTCCCTCTGACCGTTTCTGTGATCTGATCATATTCCGCGATCTGAGGCACTTGGACTGCCTCATCAACGCGAGACTATCCGATTACCGGCCTGCATATTTGGTAATGCCATTCTTGTCACGTCCAGTCCATCCAAGTGCTGATGGCACTCCTGCTGCACAGTCGAAGTTCACTGGATCTGCCTAAGACACACTGCTGTAAACAAGGTTAGTTGGGCAAGCACCAGGTCCCTTGTTATGACTGAACTATGCGACTGATCGATAAATAGCCCCGATCGGTCGTGTGATTTTCCGGCCCGCACAGGAGGACAATAGGTTCCGAATCCGATGCTACCTAAGTTTTAGTAAATAATCACCACAAGAGAATCAGTTGTGGAGCGGTACGCCATGTGGAATATTCGAAATGGAAAATGTTCAAGCGTTGATGACACCGGTCCAACGCTTGAATCGTCTAAGATACACGCACTATTTCTCTCATTTGGTTCGATTTACGGATTATCATAGAAAAGCTTTGAACTTGTCGTAATAACGGACAACAATATCCCGTAGCGTAGACCCACGCAAAACTCTTCTTGATATTTTCATAACTGGCAGTTTTCGCGTTAAACGATCCCGCTAGCTACATCGAAAGAAAGCACAAATATTATGGAAAAATGCCTATTTATTTTATAAAATCACACGAACCGTCTGCGCACGTCAGAACGTACTAATTTCAGTCTTAACTGCCGGGACTGAATCACTGATTCCCCTAGTTCTCTCAGGTATATGTCCACATCGATGGGGATGGTGAGATCCACCTCGACAGCTCTGGAGTTGACTGCATTACAGTACATACATTAACATTCGAATAAAGCATACAATCAATGCTTAAATCGAATGATTCCAATAGGTATTTCCCTACTTTTTGATGATGGAGACGACTGAGGAACGACGATGATAATAGACAGGCAGAACACCATCAATGACTCATGGTTTGTGTAGCAGCCACGTTATACTAGATCACATTCTCAAAATGAAGGCGAATGCAACCACTCAATATCGATTGGTGGACTGTTTAACAAAATTGATTAGAGAACTCTGCATGATCAAGAACCTCTCGTGTTTGGTATTCTAACGTGTTGATCCAACACTTCGTGCCATCGTGATAAGATATGAACTCAATGCGGCTTCAGATCTACTAACGAGAAGCCAGTGTTCTGAACCAATCGTAATCGACCTGTTTCATGTGTTCAGAAGAACATGGATTTCCATTTGTCAATACCGTTCCGTGTGATGATATGCATTTACACAACATTCGCATTGAGTGCTAGTAATAAAAAACCGAGGTTTCAGAGGCCTTCTTCCTGCGTCTCGTTGACGAAGGAGTTTGGCATAAAATCACCGGTGCGACTTCGTGTTTGGGCTACGATTGAGATTGTGATTCCGGTTCGTGATTTCCATCCATTACGATTACTCTCATTGTGACCTAGTAGAGTACTGGCATTGAAATCTCACGACGGCTGAATATTTAATTCTGCTGATCCAAACCATTCCAAAGAAAACAAACGTCTATTGTGTTTTGTGGTGGACCAGCATCGTAAAAATGCTAACTAAGCAGCAGGCACAGGGCATAGGGATGAACCTGAAAGAGGTATGAGCCAACAAGATCGGAAACTGATGCATTAGAAACCCGTCATGAGAGGCCACTGTCGGCACGAATCGAGCGAAATTTATCTACAGTCGTTCAAATTCTACTACGAGTAAAAGAAATTGTCGCAAATCATTTGTTTGTTAGTGGACTCTCTTTTGACCAGAAAGTTTACGCATCATCGAAAAATCCCGGTAAGATAAGTCTGTTGTGGCCTGCGGTCGAGTGAAACGTTTACCGCGCATCACGTGATTGAACGTTGGGGTCTACCACCACATGCACGGACGCACGTCATGTGGACTTACACTGTTACAAGGTCGATCCACCTCAGCGAATCACAGGTCAGTATAGATCTCTCCTCCTTGACTGGCTTGTTGACTGTCCAGCCTGACGACACTCCTTTTGGTAAGACTTGCACCAGTTTTCTGTGCCTGCCTGTCTGTGTGTTGACGCACTGCTTGCTTACCGGCTTACAGACGGGCTACGTTTGCGTTTGCACTTTGGAAATACGGTTACTACTTAATTCACTCTTTGCCTACTTATTGACTTATACGAGATACTACAAAGTCTATGTTTTGTACATGAATCCTAACAATGAGGACACATTGGCATTCTGATTCATTAAATTAGATTCGCTAAGTGGGTCTGGGTAGACGTGTGGCAGACTAGATCCTAGAGNCAGATTCCTCTTAAGTTAAGTTTCGCTTTTATTGTTATACATTTCATCAGTATTTAAGCAAACTGATTATGGAATTATTCATTCTATTTTCCAAATGAGATCGCTGAATGCAACTTTTCCACTGTACGGGCCACCAAACTGGTACTAGGAGGCAGGTGTTTGCACGCGTTTTGGAAACCTTACGCATTTACCCGACTATTTTTAGTCTTGATCAAATTCGGTTCCTTTTCATAAATCTCCCCTCTCCCCTCTCAGTCCTTTTTGAGTGGGAAGACCTGTAACTGAGCTGTCAGCTCTGCAACATCTCCATGTCATATGCAGAAAAAATTAACAACTCAAATATCGTTACACGTGATTTGTACAGATTCGTCAGTTAGCTTGCTTGCGAAAGTAGAACCAAAAAATTGTGGTTGCAAAGTAGAACCACAATACATTTTCATTATTATCGACTGAAAACAATAAACTTAATAGCGAATATCAGGGAAAACACGAAAGTTGCTTGAACCGGCAAGAAACCATATTTCACAAAGTGAAACATTATTTCCAGGATAATCGTATTAAGTAATATATTGTGTTATGTTTCGTCGCAGATGATTGCGTATCCGTAAACTGCTTCTGACACGAAAAGAGTGGGTACCGTCCGCGGATCAAGGGAACACAGTGGACGTAGTGTCCCGTGACTTCACTAATTCGTCGGATTGAAGCAAATCACAAAAAAGCAGTGCAGAGGACGCTTCACAGTTATGGAGTTTGCAGAATTGTAATGTATTAGATGGTAGTAATTATTCAATAATACATCGAATAATCGCATGTGAATACTTTTCATAATAAAACTTTAGCTTTAAAGTCATGGAGTATCGGGTGGTGGTGGTGGTGGTGGTAGTGGTGGTGGTGG